TGACCCGCGCCCCCGGAAGTGGCGTCACAGCGCGCGCGTGGCGCGGCGCCGCTTCCGCAAACAGAGTCTCCGGCGGCTGGACGGTGAGTGTGCGGTCGCCTCGCCGGCTGCGTGCCCTTTTGTGTGGCTGTGGCCGCCGGCGGGGAAGGGCGCTCCGACTGCTTGCCGTGCCGCGTCGGTGGGCGCTGCTGCTCCGAGAGGCCGGAGAGCGGCTGCGGGCCCGCCGGGCTGTCGGAGCCGGAGCGGCCGGCCGGGCGGCTCGGTGCGCCCTCGGGCCGAGGAGACCCGCCGCCGGCCGTGGAGCTGACCTGTGAGCCCGAGCCCCCGGCGCGGCGGGTCCCGGGAGACTCGAGGGTGACCGCGCGCAGGTCGCCGAGGTGCCGGTGCGGTCGTTTGTGCGCGCGCACGTCTGTCGGCTGTTCCTTCACCCGAGTCCTTCCCAATGGGTCCGCGGGGCAGGCAGCCCGCTTGCGTCGGGAGCTTGCTTCTTATTTCGCGTGGACTCTCGGCCTCAGACGTTCTTAGCCATATCTGGGTCCTTTGGAATTCTGTGTCGTTTATTCTGACCGAACTGTCTTTAGGACATCTCATTGGTGGAAATTTCACAGTTAAACATCAGTAAAACTTAATTATTTCCAAAACTAATTTTAGGTGTTACGTTTACGGCGAAAACTAATTATGGCTAAAGTCGGTAAATTACATGAGCTTATTTGAAATTAAAACCAATTTCTGTTTCCTTATTAGGAAATAAAAGGCAGAGAGGAGCAGATACTTGATAATTTGGTGGATACTTTTACTGGATGGTAATTTTAAGCAGTTATTCAGGAAATTACGTTTCTGGGTCATTTTCCCCCCTCTGTTTCTGTTCTTAGTGTTTGGGCACATGTTAGTATTTTTTTACCCCAAACCTTGGGTAGTGAAAGCTAATATTCCTAGAAACCCTTCTGGTTTAAAGTGATTTGGTTTTACCCATTCCATTAAGCAACTTTCTTACTCTGTTTTACTCAAACTATCCTAGTTTGCTCAGAAGACTACCCCCCCCCATATCCTTCAGGTTCTGAATTTGCTGAATCTCACTGGTTTTTAGGCTTTTGCTTTTTCTTATCCATTTGGTTTGACTAATACAGTCTAACGTTTTAATAGTGGCATATGAGCTGTAAACTTCTTGAAGACTAATTCACAGTGCTAATAAGCCTCTCTGCAGTAGGAGTTCACTAAATTTGTTGAATGGCTTAAAAAATTCCTGTCCAATAAATAGCTCACTTATTTCTTTCTCCCTCCCATTTTGCACATAGGCCTGAGAACATTTGAAAGAGACTAGATGGTCATTAAGTTGCAGGCTGGGTCTGGAGACTTCTTGTTCAGCTGTTTCTACTCTTCACTTCCGGCCTAACTCTGACGCCCATTACAAAGTAAGGGTTTCAGAGCTGTAGGCTCCCAGTTTCCTCTTGGTCTTGGTGCCCTTAGTGAGTCAGAGTTTTTTCAGTGTCCCTAGGCCAAGAGATTCCAGTTTCACTTACTAAGAAGAAGGTCCAAATAGTTTATTAAGTCCAGCCAATTTAATAAGTGTGTCCTAAAAACTTTATTTTTAAAAATAATACATAGATTGAAAGAAAAAATATTTGTGTTAAATTTTCAGTTAACCACAAGTGCGTGTTAATAGAACGTGTATGCCTGCTGAGTACTGTACATCTTAAGCCTTGAGATCAGATTTGACGTGGCCAACTTCATTACCTGCTTTACGCTGATTTTCTGTGCTACCACGAAAATCTCAGCTTCATAAAGTTCTGATGTCATTTAAAGGAATGTAGTGCAGTCTTCTCAGTTAAAACTATGCTCTACTTTAAGCAGCATGTATACCTTCTGGATGTCAGATACCACATTTCTCTTAAGTTTTAAAATACCCTGCTGTGCATGTATGTATGAGTTTGTTACAGTGCCCAGCACACGATTTGAGAACCGAGGCTGTGGAGTAAGATCAGGGTAGAAACGTAACCAGCTTCATTTGCCTGACTTCATTTGTCAGTTTTCATGCCAGTAGTGACTTCTGTGGATGATTGTAGAAGTGTTTGGGGATTATAATTAGTACTTCCACATTAACATTTTCAAAAATTCACGTGTGGTATATATCAATTAGTGTTGTTTTCAATATTCTCTAATGAGTTTTTTTAAACTCCTAGTTGCTCACTGAAATGCTCATTTTTGGGTAAAACTGTTTTTGAGGTCTCAGCATCAGTGTTTACAAGTAATTCCAATTTTTGCCATTCCAGTTGTAGCTGATGAAGTTTTACCATCTATTTAAGTAATCAAAAATGGAAAATTCTGCAAACGCAGAGGAATGTGAAAAGGTCTCTCTTGAAGAGGCAAAAACAACAATAGATTCAGAAACAGAGTCTTCATTCAGCATTAAGGAAGACACGACCTCTCCTGGGACTGAGCTTTCCGAAAAGGCTCCCTCGTGTGGGCAGGTAGACACCCCAAGAAAGAGAAAAATAGAGTTTGAGGATGATCTTGTAAAGGAAAGTTCTAGTCGTGGGGAAGACACTTCATCCAAGAAGAGAAAACTTGGTGCTGAAATCACCCCCGAGGAAAAAGTTTCTGGTGATGATGAAGGCATTTCAAGGAAAACTGATGGATTTCCTCAAGATGAGCCTTCTCCTGGAGATGGCATTCAGAAACGGAGGAAAACAGAACCTGAGAATGTTCCTGAAAAGCAAAAAGTATGTTAAATGTATTTTCTTTTATTCATAATGGAATATGTAAAATTGAAATGTGGACCAGTTGTGAAATTATACTGTTTTTTTTAAACATAATTTAATAACTTAAGAATGTCCTATTTTTAATAGATATCCTCTTAAGGTAGAGTAGTGTTTTTAACTCTTGTAATTTAGTTGTTCTTATTTAGGTAAAGCTTCTGCTAATGAGATAATATTTATTATTATTTTGGAATTCTTATTTTATTAGAAACTTGAAAGGTAGTTTTGATAGTTTGCTTTTTCTTACTGTTTTCAAAAACTTGAGTACAAGGTCCAAATGATTTACTTTTTTTTCTTTTAAATTGTGTGTTCATCTCTTTTTTTGTGTCTGAAGTAGTTGAGACTATCACTTAAAATGATACATTTCAAAATCATACCAAGATCTACATTTTCTTAATGTATTTCCTTAAACTGTGTTGTTTCCAACTGCTTAATTGGCAGTTATATATAATTTTAGCCAAGTCTGGCATTTAGTGGGGATATTGTAAAGCAACGGTTAGCAAGCAAATATTTTCATCTGGAAATACTGTATTGTGAAAGAATCTGAGGTGGAATCTGGATTACTTAGTGAATGAGTAAAATTCTGCCTTCAGCCTTCAGGAAGGAAGTGGCAGCTGAGCCAGGTGTTTGTGTTTGGTGGAACGTGAGTCCTTGTAAAATAGAGAGGAGCTTGTATTACAAACATAAGTTTTCACATGCTTACTATCAGTAGAACCTTTTTTCAACTGAAAATCTGAAACTTAAACCTAGATAAGGCCCTTTGGTTGAACAGGAAGTGGGGAATCTGAATCCCTTCACCTGCACTGACATTTTTGCAGAATGCTCAGGGTCTTAGATGCGGAGGACAGATTGAAACTTCCTGTCCAGGTATTTCTACTCTCAAATGACAGTGAATAGCTAATAACAGAAATCACTGATATTGAGCATGGCCTGTTGAGTTCTAATCTCTCTGTGTATGTTATCTCATTTAATGCTCACAAAAATTTTCTAATAATGGAATTAGTAAATTACTTCTATTTTATTCTCTTGTTGGGAGCGTCATCTGCTGGCTGACATTTATTGAACTGAATAAATCAGAACTCTGAAAGAGAAGTGATTTTGTTAAGACATTGACACCAAAATTATGAAAGATCAAGATGAAAATTTTAAATCAAAGATGCTTTTAAAAATAGGGAACAGGGGAAGACCCTACATCTGATTATAATTGGTGAGATTTCTATGGTTATGCCATTGCTTAATGAAGTACATCAATTTCAGTAGTATTTTGTCCATATGTGGGTCAGATGCTCTTTTGACTTGTTTCTGCCATGTTCAGCTTCTTAATGTTGTTCCATTCTCTTCTTGCCAGAACTTGGAAGAAGGACACAGCTCAGCAGTGGCTGCACACTACAATGAACTCCAGGAAGTTGGTTTGGAGAAACGAAGCCAGAGTCGAATTTTTTACCTAAGAAACTTTAATAATTGGATGAAGAGTGTCCTCATTGGTATGATTGTTTTTGATTTGTAGCTTGGAATTTTTAATTTCAGCTTATGTCTCATTTTTTTCTCCCTAAATGGTTAATCATACACCAAACTATGGGGTCTTTAGTTCCTATCCATTTAATCATCAAACCTTGGCTTTATAAAATTGGAGCAAAAACTAAAACTAGGCCTTCGAGAGAAACTCTTTTCATGTTTACTTTTGGTTGACTATGTAAGATGTTAATGAGTGTTTAATTGATACTAAATTGATCACTGAATCAGGCTTTCAGAACAGGGTGCTTTTATATTTAGATTTGAGGTTACCTAGTGCTTGCTGTTAAGTTGTCTGTTTTATTCTAGTAGTTTTGGAGCGATGATACATTGTTGTGTTAAATATTCAGGTTCCATTAGGTCAAGAAAGTGGCCATTGCCATGATTTTTTACCTCTAGGCCTTTAATGAGTTGGTGAAGGTCATGTGTGTTGATTGTCAATTGAACTTGTTTTTCTTGTATGGTGTCTGGAGAGAAAGAAAGTTTACATTGAGGACTGATGAAGACTTTCAACTTTTGAACAGCATTTTATCTATGAAAACTCACCTTTGAAGTTAAAATGAAAGTCAGTGGAGGAAATGTGATTCAGAATGTATATATCGCTTTATATTAAATAGCACATTAAATAGCCACATACCTGAGATTAAAGAATTTTTAAAAGCCAGTACATTCTGGGGGGGGGACAAGTTTACCTCAGTGGTAGAGTGCGTGCTTAGCATACATGAGATCCTGGGCTCAAACCCCAGTACCTCCATTAAAAAAGTAATGATAAAATAAAATTAAAAAATTAAAACCCAGTATATTTTGAAGTTTTTCACAAAAACGTTTTTTAAAAAAAAAAATTTTGGTTTGTGTTCTTGTTTTTTTTTTAAAAGCCAACCTCAGGAAAAGTGAGAATGCTTTTGTAATTACACTGAGAAGAATAAAGTGTTAATTATGGCTACTTTTTGCTAGTTTTGATGATAATTTACTAATTTTTAAAGATAAATTATCCATTCTGAGAAGTGCTACGAGTGGAAACTAAGCTCGTTAGTTGGAACACATTTTAATACTTTCTGTCTCACTTTTGTTTTTAATACTCATTTTTTATTATAAAAATGATCATTTGCCTCTGCCACTTATCAGCCTGGGTAAATGAGTGAGTATCAGCTCTCTTTTTTTTGGTGGGGGGGTTTTTACTATTATGACATTTTTAGTCTATACTCTTAAGTAATCTTTGGACCCTGTTCCTAATTTCTTTTCAGTTTTTCTTCTTTCCTCATCGTCCTCAGGAATACAGAGAACTTACCATTTGGTATTTTTCCTGGTGTGTCATTTATTCATGTATTTATTCATTGAATAAATACTTCTGAGTTCAGCCATGTTTTTCATATTGTTAGTTGTATTATTTTTGCAAACAGAAAAACAGCTACGTTATACTGCGCCGACTTTATCTCTCGGCGTGTGCTTGGTACGCTCTCCTCCTGCAGCCACCCCAGCAGCGCTCTCCGTGGGCGCTCTGCTGCCTCTGCCTGTCTCTCTGGCCCGGTGGAATCAGTGTGCTCTGTGCCAAATTTCCCCAGTGGCTTTTTTCTTTCTCTTCTCAACCCCCATTCTTTGTCATTCATTTTCTCTTCTTTGTTGGTGCTTATAGCTTAGTAATAGTTGAGTACTATTCTTGAATGTGATAAAGATATCTTTTAATAATGTTTCATGAAGATTTCCCCTTACTTGTTTAGTTTTGTGTGGAAATAAGGAGATTTTTTAATTCTTACTGTTTTTCACTCTTTCCATGTTATTTTTTATGCTATTTTCTTAAGATTCATAGCAGAAAGTTAAATATGGAACACCTTTTTTTCTGTTGAAATTAACTTAAGATCCTATGGAGACTGCAAGGCAGAAGTATTTGCACAGAACTTTCTAGCAGTCACAATAGTACACACAGGAAATGAGCACTAAATTCAGAGCGACAAAGACAGGAAGAGGGGATCCAGGGTCAGGATTTTATCAGATTTCAGAACTGCTGTTTCAGTTGTCTGAAGTGTATTAATACGCCTTTAACTGATGTTTGAACCATTTGGCTCTTGAGGTATTTTGTATAATAAAATGAGGACCTACTGGTGTTATTCATTGGTTGTTAATGTGCTGTAGCAAATTCGGGTAGAAGATCCCATTTTTACTTCAGAGGTTTTATGATAGCAAAATTAAGAGGTATATATGGTTTTGTTTTTTAACTAGTTTTTGTATTTCTTTTGGGGCTAAGCTTGCCACCTTTTCTGAAAGTCAAGCACTCTTAGGGTCCCATAATTATTTTTGATAGTTGTGTTACAAGCTCAACACTTAGCTTTGAAAAGAGAACTACAAAACTAGGAGTAACTAGTCTTATCATGAACAAGTGTTGGGTGTTTTTGTTAATTAGAATTTTAAATGTGTGCTGTTTAATGTTGAATCAAATATCAGATTCTGAAAGTACCTTCCAAAAACCTGTCTTAGCTTCTAAAATCCCAGTCACAGACACTTTTATCTTTACAGCTGGAGTATTGAGTTTGAAATGTTCACCAAAAGTTATGAATTAATTGCATAAATGTATGTGTTTATATTACATGTCAGGCCAAAGTTAGTAGATTATTAGGGGTAACAGTTTGTGCTTTAGTGAAAATGGAGAAGAGATCATTTATTTTGACTATTTTTCTTTTTTAGGGGAATTTTTAGAAAAGGTGCGGCAGAAAAAAAAACGTGATATCACTGTTTTGGACCTGGGTTGTGGTAAAGGTGGAGATTTGCTCAAGTGGAAAAAGGGAAGAATTGACAAGCTGGTTTGCACTGGTAAGATAAGATAATGGCGTGGGAAAGGGTAGTTTTTGGTCAGTCAGGTGAACAGAAAATAAGAAAGATCTCACTGACACACGCTAAAAATTACGACAGGATATCAGGGGGCTGCACACGAGATGGGTGTTGTCTAAAATGAGTTAAGAGATTTTCGCCGATGGTGTTAAAACCAAAGATGGAGTCATATCTAAAGCACAAACTTGAAAAGGCTCTTCCTGGTCAAAGACAGCACAGTTTCTTCATCAAAAACAGTGATTACAGTGGATTGAAACACATGAAAAAAAGGAAAAAAATTTCATTGTTCACCCTTGGAGGGAACCAGGAAACTTTTTCATTATTCTGAAATTCAGAAATTCAGATGTCGGTATTCCAAGGTAACCAAGTGATTGTGAAGAGAAATTCCTCTTTATTGAAAAATCATAATGAATAATTGTTCTGCCCTTGATGAAACAGCACATGAGCAACAGTCATGGAAAGATGCTAGAGCAGTTAGGTGAAAGGTTGGTGGGACTGAACAGAATGAATCAGGTGCCTGAACCTGCTGCTAGGTCCCCACCCTGAGGGACAGGCTCGCGGCTCGCCCTTCCCTGGGTGAGGACTGAGGGAAGGGGACGGCAACACCTGGGAAGCAGGAGGGCCTAAGGTGGCACTTCTCCAATGTTTTGGTTTTATGACCACAGTACACTCTTAACAATGGTTGAGGACCCCAGAAAGCTTTTGTGTATGTGGTTATAGCTAGTGATTATAGAAAATAAAACTGAGAATTTAAAAAATACTTTAAATTCATCACAAATAAAAGGTAGTGAGAAGACTGGCATTGTAAAAGTATTTTTGCAGATTCCTTTAGAGTCTGGAATAATGGAAGACAGCCAGATTCTTACACCTGTTTCTGCTTTCAGGATGTTGTGATGAGTTATTTCATTTGGTAAGTAGTTGTGAAATGGAGTATTTTAGGAGCCTTTTCAGATAATTGAGGATACTCATCTTCAATACTTCATCAGAATCTGGCAAGTGGTAGTTCCTTAAAGGTTAGTTACAGTGTGGAATCCGAAACCATACTGATGAAGTTCCATATTCTGTCCTATTTAAATCTGTGGTCCAACTTGCACTTTGAATGGATCTTTAGTCCTGCAAGATTTTGTAATATTTGGAAAATAATGTTCTCTAAAGTTATTCAGATCCTCTAAATGTTGACATCACAAAATCACATTTGTTTACTGTCACCTTCAATCAGAAACGTCTTAGGTATTAGTTAAGCTGACATTCAGCTCATGGTGGTAGATAAAAGTTTTTTAAAATTGTAATTTTCACTTGAAAGCTCAAACTTATCATTAGTAACATACCCTGTCCGTTGTTTTCATGAAGTGGCAGGCTCGCTTTCTTCATTTTCAAGAAAGTGTCTGCCAGATCACCACGTCTGTGCAGACAGTGTGTCTGCAGTTCTGTCAAGTGAAGGGTGGCCGGTGCAGCTCACCACGCAGTCACCCCAGCCCCGTCAGACTTCATCACATAGCAGAAATGTTTTGTTGTTTTACATTTCATCACACAGAATATTACAAATCAAAGATTTAATAAAATTAATTGTTGCTGCTTTATCAAGGGCATTCTTAAAGGAAATTGCCCTTTTTTCTCTGCTGGTTTCTAGTGGTAGAAGATAAGTCATGTGTGACCAGTACCATTGGTGCTCCTCCTGTCTTGTGTCCATGATGGGGTGATCAGAGGTGCGCGTCTCAGCGCTGGGAAAGGGGAAGTAACGTTTTACTAAGAAAATGTGGAAAGCTGAGTGTATAGGGTTAGGTTTTTATAATTCAAATTGGACTCTAAACTTTCTGCTTTTAACTTTGAATAAGGATTTTGAAATCATGATACAACTTCTCTGTTGTCAATACCTATGGAGAAAGCTTTTAATTCCTTGTGAAAAATAATAGGGCATTTACACTGGCATAAAAGACTTTCTTCTCTTTTGTTTGGAAGGAAATAGAGCCATTTTGCTTTCCTAAGGCTAGATTCTGCACCAGTTTACCAGTTAACGTTTAGATTTGTGCCGTCTTAGCATTTACCTTTCACCTCTGTTGGTTACCCCTCTTCTAGACATTGCTGACGTGTCTGTCAAGCAGTGTCAGCAGCGGTATGAGGACATGAGAAGCCGTTGTCGTGACAGTGAATATATTTTCAATGCAGAATTTATAACTGCTGACTGTTCAAAGGTACGGATTTTTTAATTTGTCAATTTATTTTTTATATTTTTAGTTTGGGTAAATGATTTATTTTAAAACATTAAAAATCTTCAGACATGGATTTTCAGTTTTAACTGGAAATTCTATTAATGATAAATTTCCTTAAATGACCCATTGAGTACTTCTGGGATTTTTAGCTTTTAATAGTTTTAATTTCGGAAATCATTTGTTGCTTTTCTGTTTGGACGAGATTTATTTTCTAGTATTTTGAAATAGATCTGAACTTACATTTTATTCGATCACTTTGTAATCTATTTGGGTAGTTTCCCAACATGTCAGAGTCTTTTGGTCCCACCTCCCACTTGTTTCCGAGTATCTAACAGCTGCGAAGTTCAGGAGCTGCAGAGGCTCAGGTGCGGTGAAAGCCCCCCGAGCTCTGTCCTTCTCGCCTGACTTGGCAGCTCGTTAAACTACTGCAGATGCCTTTAATCCTGTTCACTTTATTTGCAGTCCTGAAACTGGAAAGGAGAAGTGGTAGTATACATCCAGAAAGTTGGAAACCATTAGAAACACTTTTTCACTTTTTAAAAAGAGGCCCAAAGGCCAGCTTCGTGTTTTTGTTTTTAACCCGTTATTGTTCAAAATTATTTCACTTTAATTTTCAAGTAAAGCCAATTAAAGGATTGGCTCCTTTAAATGTCGTATTTAATTAATGTATTTTTAAGCATGATTTCAGAGTCTGTAGTTCTTAAAATTACTATGAAAATAGGAATCAAATTCTATTGAACCAGAAAGAAAGAACGATCTTTCACGACCCTTGCGGTTACACAGTGAGAGGGGTAGGCTGTTGGGAGGACACATCTGCTTTTATTTTGAGGGCCCTAATTCCAAAAATTAATTTACTAGGAAGTTTTTATGTTACCACCAACTTCAAAAATCTTGACCTATTTTAATTTGTTCCAGGAACTTTTGGCTGATAAATTTTGTGACCCAGGAATGCACTTTGACATCTGCAGTTGTCAGTTTGTCTGCCATTACTCGTTTGAGTCCTACGAACAGGCAGATGTCATGCTTAGAAACGCGTGTGAGAGACTGAACCCGGGAGGCTATTTCATTGGTACCACTCCCAATGGCTTTGAATTGATGTGAGTACTTTTAAATATATTGTGGCTTATAAAGTACTCAGAATTAAGCTTATTGAAGAGTAGCAAATATTTATCAGAAATAGTTTATAAAACATACCATGTTGCTCTTACAAGGGCTGAGCACTTTGATGATATATTTGAGTAGATACTCAGATTTTTAAGTTCAGGAGTCAAATTTACAGATGAACATTTAAATCATCTCTCTAAGTCAGAGACTGATGCTACATCAAGTCAAAAAGCCAGAGGTTTTCTTGCTAGACAGACTCCAAGTCATATACGAGGTGCTGAGACTTAACTAGCTGTCATGATAGTGAAACTGCTTCCAGCCTGATTTTATTAGTGAGATCGTTAATGATCTTTTAGTGCATTGCTGCTGCTGCTTTTTTTTTTTTAATTTATGTTTTATGGTTTTGGTTTTTTTTTTTTTTTTTGGTTGGGGGGAGGTGGGGGGAGGTAAGTAGGTTTATTTATTTATTTATTCTTAGAGCATATACCAGGGCTTGAACCCGAGACCTCATGCATGCTAAGCATGTGTTCTACCACTTGAGCTATACCCACCATTTTGTTTTTAAATTTAAAAAAATTTTTTTTAGTTTTATTGTATTGCTTCTTAAAAGTAGCTAAAAATCCAATTAAAAGCCAATGGAGTGTCTTTATGAAATTGTGTCATGTATTTTTACAATATGTTTAATCTGATCAGAACAAGTTTGACCTAATAACAAGTTTAATCTTTTTGTTTTGGTTTGGGGATAACCTTTATAGAAGGCGCCTTGAAGCTTCAGAAACAGAATCATTCGGAAATGAAATATACACGGTGAAATTTCAGAAGAAAGGGGATTATCCTTTATTTGGCTGCAAATACGACTTCAACTTGGAAGGTGTTGTGGATGTCCCTGAATTCTTGGTCTATTTTCCATTGCTAAATGAGTAAGAATGTCATTAATCTGTTACTATTCTCTGTTTGCCCTAAGAGAGAAGGAAAGTCAGTATTTCTCTTCGTTTCTTATTTGAAATGTGCTCCGTAGAAGTTTAGCGTTGTTTGAATAAAAAGACTAACCTCGGGTGGGCTTGGGGCCGTCGGTCTCTCAGAGCCTTGCTCGGGTAGTTTCCTTTCTTCCTGGAATTACTTTATCCTGCAGGTGAGAAAGGGAGCCTGTTGCCTTCAGCTTGCGCAGAAAATAACTGACACTGCAAATAGCAAAAGATGTTTTCCAATTACCTGCTGGTGACTTTGAACAAATCTTCCCAAAGTGAATGCCTTCCTTTAGACAGGAAGAGCTGTTGAAAGTTGTTTTATTTTCACTGCATAATAAATTCCTGATTGAGGAACTCCCGCACCTGAATTCCTAGGGTTCCTGGCAAACCGCAGGCACAGGGCAGGCTGGGGTTTCAGGCTTCATTAGGTAAGGCCCCAAGTCCCCCTAATGGGGTCAGTGGGAAAGGCTGCCTAAATGTAGTTGACACAGCTGGCTGAACTGCATTTCCTGCTTTTTGAAAAAAACAAAAGTCTTTTATAAATTGAGGAAAAAAGAAGAGCTTTAATCTTTGCTTCCTTTTTGGTGGTGACTATTTGAATTGTGTTTCAACCTGTAAAATTATGGGTATAGGGTTTTCAGGAATTTACAGTAGACAAAAATTTTGTGCAGTAATATAAGAAGATTAAATGGCATGGGACTAAACATGGAAAATATTATGCACAACTTATAAACTATAAAATTTGATAATTGACATCACATTTTCCTTAAAATTAGCAAACTTTTGACATATTATTTGTTCAAAGTTTAACTTCAACTTTGTGAAAGAAGAAATTAAATATTTTTAGTATGTTTTATATGTTTGTTTGTTACCTTAATGTTTTGGTTGTCATAGTTGGTGATCTGAGTATACCCCCAAGAGATAAAGAGTAAAATGAAAGGTATTTTCCTTAATGCTAAGCAAGCTCTAGCAGTCTTTTCTGCTTGGATTGCCTAATGAGGATAAGCATAAAGTCATAAGTCATCACTTTAATATCTAAGTTTTTAAAAATTACTGAAACAGGTATTCATTCAGGGGATAGAATCTGAAAATGCAGAGAGATTTTGAATTGCCCTTTGGCCGTTTCATTAAGAAACTGAACAAAAATATAAGTAGTTTTTATATGGCAAGTTTATTCACATTGTCAAATTGAGTTTCGGTTCTTTTGTAATTGTATTTCTTTGGTGTAAAACTCAGTTTCATGGCTTACTTTTGGATTTGGATATTTGGATAGAAAATGAACTGCCTAGGATAGAAGAGATATATCTTTGTTAATGTCTTTCCAAGGAGGACAAATGCAAATTACAGGGACTCCTGCCTTACACGTGCCTCTTACATACAAATCTGCGTGGCCCTCAAGTGTCTCTCACCTGTCCCTTCGTCTGTCACCTCACATGTCCTCCTGCGTACCTTTTCAGGGTATTTTTTTCCCTTTCTTCCTCTCCTCCTCTACCTGCTGCCTGAGGTCATCCCTGGGCTCCCCTGTGTCGTCTACAGATCATAGTAATAAATTCTGCAAATGGCACTGGAGGGGAGGCGGGGAAACTTTCACAGGGAGACCTGATGTAATTGAGGATTTAAGGAAGCCACCTGGGAAGAGTGATGATGAAGTCAGCATCTAAAGGATGACTGGTCTGCCAGCTGGAGATGGGAAGGGGGGATGTTCCACGCCTAAAGCACGGTATATGTGGAGGCCCTGAAGTGGGACAGAGCTTGGCTCGTTCAAGACACTGAAAGAGAGCCCTTGTGCCTAGGCCTTGAGGAGTCAGGGCCCACGTGGCTCCAGATGAGGCAGCTTACCTGGAGTGAAGGCGCTGGATGTGCCCTTGGGGCTGGAGAGCCAGTGAAGAGCAGAGGGGGAGGTGACGCGCGCACTTGGAAAGCACGGTTGGCTGCAGTCAGGAAGTTGGTTGCGGGAGGCAGGAGTAGAACAGGGAGGCCAGCGAAGCAAAGCAGCTGCCTGGGAAGGCGACGGGCAGGACGGTGGCCAGCGAAGGGTCGGGGGCTTGTTGGAGTGCGCTTCACGGTGAGTGGGGCGGACGTGGCAGCCTGCTGAGCGTGGTGGGCACGGGAGTCAGAGAGCCTGCCTGGACGATGCTGAGTTTCTGGCGTGAATCCCTAGGTGGGTTTACTGAAACGGCAGAGGTTGGTGGGAGAACAGGCTGGCGGGTTTGGCCCCGAATGCGGAGACAGTCCTGGGGGAGATCCAGGAAGCAGGGCAGTGAGGGGGGTGTCAGGGAGTGACGGCGGGCAGGGCCCTGGGCCACACTCTTCAGAACCCGAACGTTTGGAAGTTGGTGGAAGAAACCTGCCAAACAGGCTGTGAAGAAGCAGCCCAAGATGTGGGATAAAAACGTGTTTCTTACCTGCGAATCCGAGAGATGAAAGAATGTCTTAGGAAATCGGCAGCTTTTTCCAGTGTCACCGTGAGGAATCAAGCTAAGTAAAGTGGAATGGGTAGAGAAGTGCTCCTGCCGCCTGTCTCCCCACCTCACAGCCTTTCATTCCACTTCCGGGCCTGTCTGTCACGTCAGTCATGTTCCCCGCGGCCCTGTGAGACTCAGGACACACGACCCTGCGGGCTGATCCCTGGGATGTTGCTCTTCACTGGTTTTGCATTGCTCTGTTGTGAACTCATACAGGTTTTTAGTTAAACCCCAAAGATGTAGCTGTTGTGTGAGGAATTACAAATCTTTTGGAAGCCTTATCATTAAATAATCTTTCTTGGACAGAATGGCGAAGAAGTACAATATGAAACTAGTCTACAAGAAAACATTTCGGGAATTCTATGAAGAAAAAATTAAGAACAATGAAAACAGAATGTTGTTAAAACGAATGCAGGCCTTAGAGGTGAGTATTTAGGAAAGGTGTAAAGAATCCCAGGTCATAATAAAGTGGTTTATTCTACTTTCTAGAAATTGCTGCTTTACAGTGGGGTTTCTCAGCCTCAGGACCGTTGGCATTTGGGGCTGGACAGTTTGTTGGTGGGGCTGCTCTGGGCACTTAGCATGTGCAGCAGCACTCTGGCCTCTACCCATGAATCTGAACCCTAATCACTTTTTAACACTGCAAGCAAGTTTCTTAATTTCTAATGTCTGAGCTTACTGTAGGATACTTATAAAGAAAGGGGAAAAGAAGATAGTAAAGTAGACATTCCTGGATCATTTTCTTAAAAATTCTTCAGGAAGACATCTAAAGTGGTTCCTTACTAGCTGGTTTGTTGTAAAAGAAAAGGAATTGAAAGAATATATAAACTGGTCCTCACAGTGTGACTGCTGCGTCCACCACCCACACTGAAAATAGAGTCAGAGGTTTATGTGCCTAGGCAGGTTAAGGTCGTGGCCAGAAGCCTGTGCCTGGTACTAAGATGCACCCACGACGTGGCTGCTGTACCCACCAGCCGTGTTGAAACGAGTGACTCATTTGTATTATTCTAGTTGCTGTTGAAACTTCCACGGCTATTGGGTCACCATCATGTTCAGATGACTGTTTGGCTCTTCGTAATAACTTCATTCAGCTTTGAATTGTAACAGAAAAGGCCTCTGACCAGAGTCAGAGAGACAGTGGTTGTGGTGGCGGTTAAGGGCGCCGGTCAGGCCAGGTGCACGCTCCCCGTCTGCTCAGCGTTGACCTCAGCAGCCGCTTTGTTCAGAGAGGGTGATCCCTTTCACTCCTTTTTTCCCCTATTTCAAATGTATGTATAGTTTGTACTCCTGAAGTAATACTTAGAGATACTGTCTTAATTGTTTTATTCCAGTGATTTGATGTGTTTAATTCTGAGCCGTGAATTTCATTGTAACGTCTCAGCTGGGAATTTCACTTGCTTCCTTCCCTAGCCATATCCTGCAAATGAGAATTCCAGACTTGCCTCTGAGAAGGTGGGTGACTATGAACATGCAGAGCAGTACGTGAAGAACAGTCAAGTAAGGTTACCTTTGGTAAGTTTTCACTTTTAAACATGTTTTACAGAAGATGGAAACTTAGGAAAGTATTTCGCTGGTTTACAGCATTGGGTTCACTGAGTCACAGATCCGTCACACGTCAGTCTGTTCCCCCTAAGTTACGATGACATCTTAGAACGGTAGGATGTAGGATAAGATGTACTCTGATGAGCTGGGAACGGAGTGCTGCGTCTGAGGCAGCAAGGGTGGGGAGAGCTACGGGCTCGTCTGAGGGTTGTCTTGTGCTGCTGCTCCTTAGTGGAGACGCTGCCGACTCCTGTTGTCCCACGGGTAAAATCAAGGCTTCACGAACGTAGTACCACGAACGCAGCACTAGCGCAGTGATATTAGCCGTAGCTGTGACTGTATAATCAATAGAAATTACAGATACTCCCGTAACACACCTTCTGCTGACATCTTAGAGTGTAGTTCACATTGATCACTTCAGAATTACGTGATTTAGTAGATTTGCCGCTATATCTTATTACTCAGTGCCTTTGCAAAGTAGTATGTATATTACTAAATATAATTTCCTTTGCGTGATACATACTTTTATTTTGTGATTTCCTTTATAAAAGCATAAAAATCTTACTCCCTCTTGCAGTGTTATTTGATGTTTTAAGATAGGCCTTTTTATTTTTCATTTTCCAAGTTAAAAATGTAAGATGGTTACCTTTTCCAGTTACACATACACATGGATACCCTCTTTACACAAGTTCACTCTTTGAGAATCAGTGGTTTAGAGAATATGGCAGGAGGGCAGAAGTGGTGAGAGGACACTGAAGGTTAATTTCATTGCATTCTTCGTATGTTCAGACCACAGTAACAGTAAGCCCTATGCGTGTTCCCACTGAAGTCAGGGTTACGTGGACGCCTCTGTGCATCACGGAGAAGTGAGCGTGCGTGTAATCCCAGATTCAGTCTGAAATTCTCTTTTTTTAATTTTAGGGAACCTTAAGTAGATCAGAATGGGAAGCTACAAGTGAGTATATCACCATTGTAGACTGACATTTTCAAAGATGGTTTCAGAGTGATTGTTAAAATCTGAAAACTTGAGCCTTTTTCTGACACAGGTTGTGTGGGGAGAGTATGTGTCCACAAAACCCCTGTATGTGCCTGATTCCCCCCTTATCCTGCACAGCTGTTTAGAGCCGAGAAAAACATACGCAAGGATGTTCCTTAACATGCACTTGGAGCGTACTTACACGCTCTTGTTGCCTGCTTGTCGGTACGGAGTCATCTGCACCTGGTACCTTTACCTCATGTTTCTGTTGGAAATCCTGGCTTAGGGAACACTTCCATGTATTTTATTTGGTTCTGGCCTCTCTGATGTTGACAGTAAAGGCATTGTAACTGCTAGAACATTGAACGAAGCAGCAGTGAGCAGGATGTTTAGAAGGCTGTTTCACTGGGAACGACCGTGGTGTGGAGACGTTTTGCAGGGAGGTGCCTGTCTCTGGATGAGAAGTCAGAGGCCTGGCCAATCTGTGAGGTGCAGTGGAAATGGATGTTGGGAAGTGAGTCCCCTCCCCCTCCTCTTTCCTCCCCCCTCCCCTTCCCTCCCCTTCTCTCCCCTCCCTCCCCCTCTCCTTCCTCCTCCTGTTCCCCCTCCCTCCCTCTCTTCCTCCCTCCCTCCCCTTCTCTCCCCTTCCCCCTCCCCACTCCTTCCCCCTCTCCTTCCCCTCCCCCTCTCCCCTTCCGCCTCCCTCTCTCCGCTCCTTCCTCCTCTCCTTCCTGTTCTCTCCTTCCCCTTCCCCCTCGTCCTCCGCTCCCCCCACCCCTCTCTAACCTGAGGCCATGGAGGGCTCCATGGGCTGCTGCCACAGTCCAGAAGCCACGTCTTAACTTCTGGTCTGGGCGGCAAGCTTGTGTTACCAGAGCCTGCTTTCCTCTGAGGATGCTTTAAATGTGAGAGGAAAGAGGACTGTTGCTAATTTGCTTCTGGAAGTGGTTCCGGATTTACTTGATTAAATCCCAGTCGAGGTGCTGACACAGAAGGTGTATGTAACGAGTGAGACTCCCAGAGTTTTTGAGTTAGAAAGGAGAGGAAGGTAGTCATTGCTAATCTGGAATCACACTGCATCTTGGTGGTTTTGCATGACCCTGGATGAGTGCAGGGTAGGATTGCAGGCTCCCTGCAATAGGTGTAGACCTTGGGTGTCTGTGATGGGTTTGGCAGGGTGGGGCAGCAAAAGGACAGCGTGACGTGCGGGGTGAGCTTAGGGCTGCTGGCCTGGCCTGGGTCTCAGGACTCGGTCGTGAGGCTGGGGCTGCGTGCGTCCCACCTTGGAGAAGAATCTTCACGTGGATGGTCACCCTGCCGATTTCTGCCCACCTGCCTGTTCTCCTGCTGCGTTTCATTCCTCCTGAAAGACTCGGACCTGAGGAGATAAGGAGCCAAGAAAAGCACGACCAGAGTAATGGCTGAGAGTGCTGTGGTGCTCCTGCCGAGGTTGGGCTGGATGGACAGAAAGCTCAAGGCTGGCCTGCGGCCTGCTGTCCTCTGTCCCCTGTTCATGTTACCCCGAGGAGGTAGGGTTCCTCACAGTATGGTCTCTTGCTCTGACTTGCTGGCTGAGTGTCTGAGCAGATGCCCTGAACATCCTCGTGGTGTTTTGAGGACTTGTCATCTTTTCTTGTGTTTTCTTAACCACAAAAGCTGTTGGTTTCCTATCAGCAGAACCTCAGTGTGTCCACAGTGGGGAACCGGAGGTGCATTTAGACCTCTTTGAGTGGACACACCTCAGAGCACGAAGTCTGACGTAAGGGAGAGTACTCTGGGGGCTGGGGATGTGGTGTCGCCGAGCACCAGCTGTCCTGCGGCTTTTGACTCGCTCTCCTTGCCGGGCCCTACAGCAGCAGTTGGGAATTGGATGGACTTTAACATGCACGTTACATACGCTCCTTCCAATTCTTACTCATTTGGGGGGGGGGTTAGAAAAATTTGAGAATACTCCTACATTCACAGCAGTGCAGTTATTCCAGGTGGAAAGAATTCAGTCGTAAGGGTTTCATTTTCATATTCTTTGCTTTTATACTTAAATTTTTTTTCTCAAACTGTTGGTAGAGATATTTAGAGCTGTTGAATTGGTTTTCTCAGGGTTGTGATGCTGCTGAGTGTTACAGTAAGTGGATATTTGTTTTTAAGTAAATAGATATGATCCTATATTTGCTTAAATATGACTCAAAAAGTTGAACTCTTAGAAATAATGGGATTTTTTTTCCTCTTCAAAAGGTGTTTGTGGGGAGGGTGGAGCTCGGTGGTAAAGCACATGCTTAGCATGCACAAGGTCCTTGGTTCAGTCCCTGGTACCTCCATCAAAGAAAAAAAAGAAAAAAAGCTGCTTGAGAATTTTCACCAAGTTATGAAAAAGCCTGAGATTGTTGCCCTGAGGGTGTGAGAAACCAACCTCTAATTTTTATTTATTTTCTTTTTAGGCATTTACTTGGTTTTTGCATTTGAGAAGCAGCAGTGAGCACGCACGCACACGGTGGTACCAGAGCAGCCGTGTCCGTCTTGCACAGATTTGGGTGGTCCACCTGCACGGATCTGACAGCCGTGTTCGCCTTGGTTCTCGGTGTGCAGGGTGCTGCTGGAAACAGTGTATAAATCCGACATTTGCTGTCTGTGACAGATAAACTGTGTGTGTGTATATAAGAGTGAGTCGGGACCTTTGTCTTTAAAAATCTATTTTTAAGTAATGTTCTAAGAATTCCATTTGCTGCCACTATCTTAGCTCATAAAAATTATAAAATGACTCTTGAAAGCCACTGAGTTCTTTCCCCAGGCTCTGCTTTGCTCAGTGTTTATTCACAGTGTTAAATTGGTTGCGGCTGCAGAACTGCTGAGGGAGTGTGTGCTCATTTCCATAGTTACTGTTTTTCAAGATTAAATTGCGTTCTGTACGGTTGAATGTAAGTGTTCGATATGTGTTGCTATAATTATAAGTTTGAAACTAAATTTTAGATGATCATAAAAGTTTACATAGAATTTTAGCCAGTTGTTAAATTTCACTGTAAACAATAACTACCTTATTTGCTAATATGATGTGATGCCAGAACTGGACACAGACTTGTATTGGATTTTGGGGGCTTTCTCTTCAGCATTTCCTCCGATAGCAGTTAGTGTTGATAGTTATCAGGGATGTAGTTCACTTCTCCTTGAACCAAAATGCCGTAGGTGTTCTTCTCGGTTTGATGGACCGCTCCCCGTGCACCTGTGGCACCTTTGCCTTGGATTTACCTTCAGAATGCAGGAGGGTGTGGCTGTTGAGGAAGCTGACGGGAAGAGGTGAGTGCGAGATGGTGGGTCTCGGCTACTGGTCCCCGCCACCCGGGACGCAGCAGTGCCTGGCCCAGGCATGGTCAGGCGTGCTTGCACACGAGGTCGGACACCCCACCCCCAGAGCGTGCATTTGCTGTTTCAGAGCCGTTACAGGTGTCAGCCCTGGCGTCCTGCTTGACTTCCAGAACTGATACCTGCATGAACTGTTGTCCATAATTTGTCTCCATTTAGAAAACTTGCCAGTTTTTAAATGTGAAAATTTAAAGAGCAGAGCAGTCATTACATATTCTTTAAACAATCAGTTATTTCAGACATGGTTTTAAAAGACATGTCTTTCTATAATTATCCAGAGTACTTGAGAAGAGTCTCTTAATTCGTTTCCCTGTGTTGATTGTTCATGGTGTTAGGTAACACAGGTTGCCACCACCTGTCTCTCCACACTGTTACCAGTTTACAGAAGCTGTCTCTTTGTCTCAGCAGTGGTTTGGGGTAGTGGGTGCTCGCGCCTCTGCCTGGTGGCTGCGGTTAGCCAACAGAGCTCTGGTCGCGGGGGGCGGCGCTGAGCTCTCACTGGTGTCGCTGTCCAGCTGTGTCCCGGTCCTGGGGGAGGCGCCAGGAAGCGTTCTGGTGGTTTGGTGGAGTGTGAAGTGCTGCTTCTGATTTCCTACCGCTCTTCTCATGTGAAGGTGCTGCTTTACTTCAGGCAAGTCATAAAGAGTGTCTTTAGCTTCCTTCTGCTCCCTCCACCCCATGGATAGTTTGAGGGCGAAAAGGATCCCCAAAGGAGGGAGTGGCTGGTGATCACAAAACCGGGAGGAAACAGGTGGAGTCCCCGGAGCCTTCAGCGCGCTGGGGTCTGAGTGAGCTGTGTGTGCGGAGGGTGCGCGGGGCTTCTCTGCTCTTCCTCGTGTCTCCTGCTGCGCTAGGGTGTCTGGGCGGTGACTGCAGGACTCCCGTCACCCGCGTGAAAGCTGGCGGGAACCCCCTCACACATCTGTGGTCTAAATGTTTGCTGATTTCCCATCCAAGACCCATGGAAACTTAGGAAGGGTGGATGGCTTTTCGTCTGGGGGCCAGTGATGTAAGCAGCTCATGGGAGCGACTCAGGGCACCTTCAGACCTGCCATTCCGAGGATGAAAGTGGACATGAGGGTCAGATCCAGCATCTGGGGGAGGGCGCGGGGGGTGGGGCCAGGAACATGGCTGGTTGTGGTGGAGCTGTGAACACACAAGTGCAGTCCTTTGGGCCTAGAGTCTCCTAAAGGAAGAGCTGCACACAGCCAGAGTTTGGGGCGGGAAGCCAGCTGCCCGCAGCGGGAGGTGTCCTGTCCTGCAGACCAGGCAGCCTGCAGGTGGTGGTGCCGAGCTCCACCCAGCCTGTGCGCCAGCGCGACTCCCCAGGGAAATTTGCCTTCGGGGAGAGGAGGCGTTGATGAGAGGCTGACTTAAATTAACCAGTCTGTATAAATGACTGAAGTGGTCAGCACAGGGTTTCCTAACCTACCCCTCCCCAAACTTGGAAACTGAGGAGATGTGGCTGCTGCCTGAGTTCGTGTTAGTATTGTTCATGGGGCGTCAGAGCGGAGGAGCACAGAGTGGGCCAGGCCTGGGGGCGGGGCGTGAGTGGGGATCAGTCAGTCAGGCGTCCCGCCCCTTCAGCCCCTCCGGGGGTGGGTGGGTCTGTCTCACCTTACTGCTGAGGTGCTGCTTTGGTGCATCTTCAGTGTCCTTCTCATGAGGGTTCGGCTGCTTATACAGACCTGCCTGCGGGGGAACTGCAGGTGTGAACGTTGCAGCTTCAGAACATGATTTATATAAGCGGGCTTCTTGTCGACCTTGGGTTTTCAGAGCAGAAGCCGGACTCGGGCCGGGGCCCTGTGATGACAGTTGTGCATAACGTCTGTGGCGTCTTCTGACCCTGTGGTCAAGTAGGAAGCAAGGGTATGTGATGTCACCACCTTCCCGTTGATGTGGCATCTGATGCTAACCCCCAGTACGAAGATCTTTCCTTTCCTGCCCCTGACAGCGGTGGTCCTGGTTCTGTGAAGGCAAAGGACTTACTTAGCAGTTGTGCATGGGACGGAGGCTGGGGAACAGCCACCTCTTCTCCCCTGTGTCCTCCTCCACTTCTCTGTTCCCATTTATCCCTGGGGCACACATGCCCACTTCTCCCTGCAGTGCTGAGCACGTGTGGCACACCCAGAGCACTCGCCCGAGCTTGCCTGGGGGGCCTCTGGGGTTAGCCCTGGAGCCCTCTGCTCCCGAGTCTCACCCTGGCCGTGCGCCCTTGGGGACAGCATACCCGGGATGAAGCCATGTTGACTAAGTTCCTACCTTATGTCAGTTGGTTTTCTAAATGTATTGTATGTGATCCTTACAACAACTGTGAGCGGTCAGCACCATTATCCCTGTTTAATGATGGGGAAGCTGAGGCGCAGAGAGGACACAGACTTGCCGAAGGCAGAGCTGAGATTTGAACACCCTCCCCCCAAGTCGGGCCCGTGCCCCAGTTGCATGTTCGGTACCTCCAGGGTGTCAGGAAGGCCCAGGGGACCCCTTGCTCATTCTCTGCCTCAGCTGGGCCCATTGATTGTTGCAGCTCCTTCCTTTGGGTTTGGAACTTGGGTCCTCCCACCGAGCAGCCTCCACTCCTGGGTAAGGTGTTGGGGCAGAGAGGCAGGAGGGCACGTGAGTGTTCCAGGGTGGAGGGTAAAACTGAATAATCAGCAGGCAGGAAGGCGGAGATTGAGAGCTGAGAGCGGGTCTCACCTTTGGTGGGCTGCTCCTTTAGCAGCCAGACCTCTAGTGAGTCTGGTTTGTGTGTTAGGGGCGGACGTCTTTGGAAGTGGCCGGGGTTGAGGGTGTAAGGGAGAAGATGGCCAAGAAGATCATGTCATTCCGTTTTAACTGGCTACTGAAGTGTAACGTGCAGGCGGGTTGGTGACTTTTCCCAGAGGGAGCACCCACGGCACAGCCTGTCAGCACCTGGAAGCCGCCTGCTCCCTTCCTGTTGCTGCCTCCCCGAGGGTAACCGCTGCCTGGACTTCCAAGGGTGTAGCTTAGATTCGTCTTTCTTGGGACATGACACGAGTGAAATAAAACAGTATGTATCCTTGTGTCTCTGGCTCATTTGCTCAGCGTTACGTGGGAGACTTTTGTACCTGGTTTGGTGTTCCGTCGTGTGAATAAGCCTCGTACTGTGTATCCAACAGATGTCTGGTTCCTTCCGATTCGGGAACTGTTACTCACAGCACTGCTTCAAATACCCTAGTCCGTGAACTTGGGTGCCCGGCGCTCGTTTCTGCCTGAGAGTGGCATCGCAGGGTCACAGCACGAACTTCGTGTTCCGCTTTACTGGATTCTGCGCACGGGTTTTCCAAGGTCCCTGTTGCCCCGGTTTTCACTGACACTCAGTAGTGCTGGCCTTTTCCAGTCTATTCTGTCAGGCGTATAGTGGTATTTCACTGTAGCTTTAGTTTTCACTTCACTGTTTCTTAATGAGATTGAACGCTTTTATATGCTTAGCAGCCTTTGGTTGTCCTCTTGCAAAATACCTGTTCAAGCTTTGCCCATTTTTCTATTGAGTGGACTGTCTTTTTTGTATTGACATGTTGGGGTTTTTTAAAAATGTATCTGTTCTGGACACAAGTCCTTTGCTAAATGTATTGTGAGAATGCATTTGGTGAAGAGAAGCTTTGAATTTTAATACACAGTTTACCAGTGTTTTCCTTCACAGTCGGCATATGTTGTTTAGGAAATCTTTGTTGACTCTAAATCATAAAGATGTTCTTTGCTTTCTTCTAAAATCTTTTTTGTTCACCTTTCACTTTTAAATCAAATCTTACTGAATTGATTTTTGTTAATAGTGTGGAATAGGATTTAAGGTATAAGTTTTCCCTTACGGGTTTCCAGCTGTCCCAGCACCATTTATTGAGAAAAACCATCCTTCCCTCATGGTACGAGTTTTCTACCTTTGTCGTGTATAAGGTGATCATATAGGTGTTTGTTTCTGGATTCTGTTCTGTTCTACTCATCAGCGTATTTTTCCTTGCATCGATCCATCTTAATTATATCTTTATAATGGATCTTAACATCAGTAAAGGGTAGCTTTTTCTTGCTGATTGAGTTAGCTGAGCAAAGTGAAGAGAGGTGCCCGGTGACTGCAGAGGGACAGGCAGGAGCGAGAAGAAATCTGAGTACTAAAGTCAGTGGAAAGCCACAAGTGGATTATAGGAATGAGGTCATCTATTTCATGTTTTTAAAAGATAGCCCTCATCTGGCAAGGATATGCACGACTTAACAACTCTATCAACCAACTTAAACTCAGTGTCATCTATAGAACACTTCACCCAGCAACAAAGTGTACCTTCTTTTCAGGTGTGCGTGAAATATTTTCCAGTACAGACCATAGGACAAATGTCAATAAAAGTATTAAAATCATGCAGAGTATTTTTCCTGTCACTGGAATGAGAAATCAGCAGAAGAAAATTTGGGAAATCCACAAATGTTTGGAAATTAACCCAGAAAAAAATTTAATAACTTGTAGGTCAAAGATGAAATCACAAGGAAAATCAAAATGTTTCACACTGAATGAAGATAAAAATGCACCCGGATATATGGGGTGAGCCAAAGCCTTGCTTGCAAGGAAAGTTTTAGCTGTAAACACCTATACTGAGAAAGGAGGAAGAGCCCAACTCAGAACCCTACGACCCCACTTAGATAGTGGGGTTAGGGGGCTGAGCCCACAGCACGAGGGAGGAAGGAAACAGATCAGAGTGAGAAATTGGTGGGACAGAAGGCAACCAACCAGAGAGCATCAGTGAAGTGAATCCTTCTCAAGGATCAACAAGTGACACACATAACTAGGCTATGAAAAAAAGAGAAGACAGGTTGCCAAAATCAGGGATGAAAGGAACTCACTATTAAATTTACAGAATTTAAATGGATTATAAGGGGACAATGTAAACAATTTTATGTCAACAAATGAGACAATCTGCATGGATCGATTCCTGCAAAGACAAAAGGACCCAAAATACTGACACTCAAGAAGAAATAGACCATCTGAATAGTAAGGAAGTTGGATTAATACTTTAAAGTCTTCCCATGAAGAGAAACTCAGACCCAGATGGCTTCACTGGTGGTTTCTATCAAATATTTAAAGAAGAAATAATACCAATCCATCACAGACTCTTACAGGAAATAGAGGAGGAGGGAATGCTTCCCAGCTCAGGCTGTGAGGGTGGTATTGCCCTGATATCAAAGCCAGGAAACTGTAAACCACTGTCTCCTGTGAAT